GACAAGGGTACACCACCCCATATTCAAAACCATTTGCCGGTCCGTAGGAAAGGGCCAGAATCAAAAAACCGCTGTTTTTCTTGAAAATTAACAGAAAAAAAATTGTAGCTCATTTATTAAGGGTTGTGCCGCAACGAGACCACCTGGAAACGATATACAGATGACAAGGGTACACCACCCCGTATTCAAAACCATTTGCCGGTCCATAGGGAAAGGGCCAGAATCAAAAAACTGTCATTTTACCTAAAATTGGACAGAAAAAAAATCTCCGCCAATTTGTTAAGGGTTGTGCCGCAACGAGACCATCTGGAAACGATGTACAGATGACAAGGGTATACCACCCCGTATTCAAAATCATTTGCCGGTCCGTAGGAAAAGGGCCAAGTACAAAAAACCGCTGATTCTCCTAAAAATTAACAGAAAAAAATTGTAGCTCATTTATTAAGGGTTGTGCCGCAACGAGACCATCTGGAAACGGTGTACAGATGACAAGGGTATACCACCCCGTATTCAAAATCATTTGCCGGTCCGTAGGAAAAGGGCCAAGTTCAAAAAACCGCTGTTTCTCTTGAAAATTAACAGAAAAAAATTGTAGCTCATTTATTAAGGGTTGTGCCGCAACGAGTCCATCTGGAAACGATGTACAGATGACAAGGGTATACCACCCCGTATTCAAAATCATTTGCCGGTCCGTAGGAAAAGGGCCAAGTTCAAAAAACCGCTGTTTCTCTTGAAAATTAAAAGAAAAAAAATTGTAGCTCATTTATTAAGGGTTGTGCCGCAACGAGACCACCTGGAAACGATGTACAGATGACAAGGGTATACCACTCCGTATTCAAAATCATTTGCCGGTCCGTAGGAAAAGGGCCAAGTTCAAAAAACCGCTGTTTCTCTTGAAAATTAACAGAAAAAAAATTGTAGCTCATTTATTAAGGGTTGTGCCGCAACGAGACCACCTGGAAACGATGTACAGATGACAAGGATACACCACCCCATATTCAAAATCATTTGCCGGTCCGTAGGAAAAGGGCCAAGTTCAAAAAACCGCTGTTTCTCTTGAAAATTAACAGAAAAAAATTGTAGCTCATTTATTAAGGGTTGTGCCGCAACGAGTCCATCTGGAAACGATGTGCAGATGACAAGGGTATACCACCCCGTATTCAAAACCATTTGCCGGTCCGTAGGAAAAGGGCCAAATTCAAAAAACCGCTGTTTCACTTGAAAATTAACAGAAAAAAAAATGTAGCTAATTTATTAAGGGTTATGCCGCAACGAGACCGTCTGGAAACGATGTACAGATGACAAGGGTACACCACCCCGTATTCAAAATCATTTGCCGGTCCGTAGGAAAAGGGCCAAGTTCAAAAAACCGCTGTATCTCTTGAAAATTAACAGAAAAAAAATTGTAGGTCATTTATTAAGGGTTGTGCCGCAACGAGACCACCTGGAAACGATGTACGGTACACCACCCCATATTCAAAACCATTTGCCGGTCCGTAGGGAAAGGGCCAGAATCAAAAAACCGCTGTTTTTCTTGAAAATTAACAGAAAAAAAATTGTAGCTCATTTATTAAGGGTTGTGCCGCAACGAGACCACCTGGAAACGGTGTACAGATGACAAGGGTATACCACCCCGTATTCAAAATCATTTGCCGGTCCGTAGGAAAAGGGCCAAGTTCAAAAAACCGCTGTTTCTCTTGAAAATTAACAGAAAAAAAATTGTAGCTCATTTATTAAGGGTTGTGCCGCAACGAGACCATCTGGAAACGATGTACAGATGACAAGGGTATACCACCCCATATTCAAAACCATTTGCCGGTCCGTAGGGAAAGGGCCAGAATCAAAAAACCGCTGTTTTTCTTGAAAATTAACAGAAAAAATGTAGCTCATTTATTAAGGGTTGTGCCGCAACGAGATCACCTGGAAACGATGTACAGATGACAAGGGTATACCACCCCAAAACCGTTTGCCGGGGTGATCTCGTTGCGGCACAACCCTCAAAAAACAATGTTTTTCTGTTAATTTTCAAAAAAAAATGTAGCGGTTTATTGATTCTTGTGCTTTCCCTACGGACCGGCAAATGTTTTGAGATGACAAGTGGTATACCACACCCCATATTCTGTACATCGTTTCCAGGTGGACCGTTGCGGCACAACCCTTAATAAATGAGCTACAATGTTTTCTTGTTAATTTTCAAGAGAAACAGCGGCTTTTTTAAACTTGGCCCTTTCCTACGGACCGGCAAATGATTTACAATGACAAGGGTACACCACCCCCTTGTCATCTGGCACATCGTTTCCAGGTGGTCTCGTTGCGGCACAACCCTTAATAAATGAGCTACAATTTTTTGTGTTAATTTTCAAGAAAAACAGCGGTTTTTTGAACTCTGGCCCTTTCCTACAGACCGGCAAATGGTTTTGAATACAACCACCTGTCATCTGTACATCGTTTCCAGGTGGTCTCGTACCCTTTGTCATCTGTACATCGTTTCCAGGTGGTCTCGTTGCGGCACAACCCTTAATAAATGAGCTACAATTTTTTTCTGTTAATTTTCAAGAAAAACAGCGGTTTTTTGATTCTGGCCCTTTCCCTACGGACCGGCAAATGGTTTTGAATATGGGGTGGTGTACCCTTGTCATCTGTACATCGTTTCCAGGTGGTCTCGTTGCGGCACAACCCTTAATAAATGAGCTACAATTTTTTTCTGTTAATTTTCAAGAGAAACAGCGGTTTTTTGACCTTGGCCCTTTTCCTACGGACCGGCAAATGATTTTGAATACGGGGTGGTATACCCTTGTCATCTGTACACCGTTTCCAGATGGTCTCGTTGCGGCACAACCCTTAATAAATGAGCTACAATTTTTTTTCTGTTAATTTTTAGGAGAATCAGCGGTTTTTTGTACTTGGCCCTTTTCCTACGGACCGGCAAATGATTTTGAATACGGGGTGGTGTACCCTTGTCATCTGTACATCGTTTCCAGATGGCCTCGTTGTGGCAAAACCCCAACAAATTGGTGGCGATTTTTTGCTGTCTAATTTTGTAAAATATCGGTTTTTTGAATCTGGCCCTTTCCCTAAAGACCGGCAAATGGTTTTGAGTATAGGGTAGTGTACCCTAGTTACCTATACATCTTTTCCAAGGGTCTCGCTGTGGCACAACCTTTAATAAATTAGTATCGAATTTTGCTAAGAACTATATAGAATTTAAATTTTTAAGAGGATTTTTAAAGTTAAATCTATATCTCTCATAAATAATTGTTCATTATATATAAATATAAACTCGACCATTTCTATTAACTTATTATATAATTCTTCTAAATCTTTAATAATATTTGTAACAACAGAAAAGTGTCGCTGTAGATATATTTTAATTGAGGCGTTTCGACACCGAAAACCGTGGATGTGGCCGAAATCGGACGAAAAGCGTCGTTGCCATAGGTTTACTATGGTTGGGATTTTTTGAAACCGTCTTACTGATATTATTTTTTATCAAAAGATATTCCCGATTGCTAGTTTTCAAATTAGGTAGGAATTTAGTAGGACTGTATTAATATAATAAAATATTTTCCATAAATTTGAGCTCCAAATGATAATCTTAGAGATTTTTTAGGGAAATATTAAGAAATATTATTAATATAATAAAATTAAAGGAAAAAATATGGCTCTTTTTCGTCTAGAATTTGTCAACTTACAATTATACAGCTTTTATACAGGGTTTTGAAAATATCTTTAACTTTTTATGTAGTAAACAAAATACATAGGTTTATAGTAAAACCTAGAATGGACTCTTAACTTTTTTTTATTTTATGTAAAAAATATTAATCTAAATTAGAAAACTATTTAAATTTAATATCTACAAACAAAATGATTTAATTTGTTACAATTACAATACACTAGAGTTTTTATGATCCTTCTTAAAAAACATTGTTCCATCTAAAAATCTTTTTTTTATAAGTATCTGCCTACTTTATTCAGAACTTATAAACGTTATATTATACCAAAGTTATACCATACGATCGAAAAAAAAGGCGTCAAAGACGGCTGTGAAATGACAATCAAGGATACTTTTAGCGAGGTCAAGCCCTAGACGTGATTCACCTGGCTTATGCCCGTACTATTCTGTATTTTCTAATAGCGCTAACTGCCACTTGACCTTACGAAGGGTGTAGTTTATTTATATTTGAGAAAATAATTATTTTTAAAAGGTGTTGTTTAAAATTGGAAAAAAAATGTTTTTTAATTTTTTGGAAATAGATTTTGTATCTGGAAACGTTCTACTCTTCTTAACGTTTCTATAATTAGTGTTAATTTTTAACTAGTTTTGTGTTAATTTTTAGTAAATGACATCTACAGATTGACATCGCCGAAATTATCAACAATTATTGTCATTCCCCAACGGTATCTGACGCCTTTTTTTATCATACGATATAATTAATGATAATGAAGTTGTCAAATAAGTTTGGGGATTAGTTAAATTAACTTAATTTACATTATACAGGGCGAGTCTTAAATAAGTGCAAATATTTTCTGGGCTGGTAGACCTCGATAAAAGAAACATATTTTCTCTTTACCGTTTTTCAAGGAAGACCAAAATAACCGTGTTACGGGCGAGAATTAAGGGGCTCAGTTCATTAGGGTGAGTTAATGTATCAGGACTGTGGGCACTTACCTTTATTCCCGTTCTGGACTCGTACTTGTTGATTTTTTGCTTATAAAACACTTGAGGATAGCGCGCGCTTGGAGGTGTACACTGTGTACTCGGCCGATCTTGTCACTCTGCGTATTCGACTACGGCTACGTACCCACTCAGGTTTTTCGGGTAAAGGATGGGAGGAAGGGAGATAGAATCCAACAAACCGAGTTATTTTACTTTGAAAATTTACAAAAAAAAATATTTTTTGCTTAAATTTTGAGAACTACTGGATCTTTTCTTGTTGCCATATTATCAAGAAATTATGTTTTTAGCTAAAAATTAAAAAAGTTTCCAAACATTTTTTCCAAATTTTTATATTTTAAATTTTTATATAATAAAATAATGTATTAAAAAGTAAGTACATACAAAAAAAAGAAACAAGCCCGACACGGTGAAAAAAGGGAGTAGGCTTTTTGCTGCGATCGCACAAAAACTTGGGGACGCTCTGTCGGTTCTCTGTTTTTTTAATATAAGCAAACTGCAATTGTAAGTTGATATTTTTAGTTTGATTTTGGTATTGTTTATGCATAGATCGAGGCCTAGATGTATTTTGTGTGCTTGTGTCAAAAGCTCAAAATTAGTTCGAATTCTAAAGAAAATAGTTTAAAGCTTACTTTTTTGGTTTAAGTTTTAGTTTAAGTTTTATTTTATCATAAAAAATAGATTTTACCTTTACAAAATTTTACTAGTATGTAATTTAGTTTTTAAATTCTATATCTTATGCACTAAGATATACTAATTTAGTTTGGGGTAAGTTAATTTTATTTAGTTAAAAAATAAGGACGAGTTATCTTTAAAATGGGACGAAAAGCAAAATCTAATATATTGGACTTGGTTGGATATTTCAATTCGAAAAATTTATGTTATCAGGAGATTTGTAGCCTTACAGCAAGTAGTGATATTTTAAAAAAAGCCTCAATAATTTTATTTGGTTATGCTAATGAAAAATCGTGTTACGGTATTCTTAGAAACATAAGACGGAATTCAAAAAACATTAAGACTAAATTTTCTAAAATCTCAAAACTGGCCAAAGACCCAGAAGATAACACTGCAGATATTACATTACATGTTATTAATTATTTAAAAAAAAATGACTTCACAATAAATGATTTAAATCTACAATGGAGTAATATGTTTTATAAAATATGTGATGAATTTCAATTAAAGAAATCTTCAAAGAATTCCAAAAAAATGCGGATCTCAGTAAATAGAAAATGGAAAAAAATCGAACTCTCTATACAAACAAAAAACATTTTTGATATAAATGCAGACACTGATAATGTTAGATTATCTCCTACTCATGATAAATCGGAACAAAATATTAACAACCCACCTTTAATTCAACCTCGCTGTGAAAGTTTCAATAATAATCAGTGTAGCTCGGCATCGTTAAATAAATCTTTTGAAAGACAAAATCAAAATAGTTCAATACCGAAAGAAATATTTCCATCTAACTATGATAATTTTGATACTGATTTTGAAAATTTTGCAAATACATCTACGGAAAAAAAGAATATTTCATCCGACTTTGAAACCATAGATATCGACCAGAGATTAGATTTTATCCATGTTCAAAAATTCATATGGAAGAAATTAAATTATATTATTATATTAATGGAAGAAATTCAGCACCAAATCGACAAAAATGTTAACAACAATATGCCAAATAATGATTATTTTAATGCTGACTTTATACAATTGATACTAAAAAAGTATATGGCAATTTTGCCTTTATGGAGTTGTATAATCATGGAGACTAATCAAAAACGAGTTAGCAACGCTCCGGTAGAAAATTGGTTTGGGTTTATAAAAGCTATTGTATTAGAGGGATCTAGGCCGCAGAAATGTAGCCGCGTAGTAAGAAAAATTAGAAGACGTGTATTAATGATTGCAAATGAAGAACAATTAAAAATTCCCAAAGAACGTTGCGCGACTCAAAAAGCCCTTATAAGCAAAGATCATGAACCCGATTACATTTCTGAAACAGAGGAATATAATAATTAACTGAGAGAGAGAGAGAGAGAGAGAATTTTATTAGTATGTAGTTTAGTTTTTAAATTCTATATCTTATGCACTAAGATATACTAATTTAGTTTGGGGTAAGTTAATTTTATTTAGTTAAAAAATAAGGACGAGTTATCTTTAAAATGGGACGAAAAGCAAAATCTAATATATTGGACTTGGTTGGATATTTCAATTCGAAAAATGTATGTTATCAGGAGATTTGTAGCCTTACAGCAAGTAGTGATATTTTAAAAAAAGCCTCAACAATTTTATTTGGTTATGCTAATGAAAAATCGTGTTACGGTATTCTTAGAAACATAAGACGGAATCCAAAAAACATTAAGACTAAATTTTCTAAAATCTCAAAACTGGCCAAAGACCCAGAAGATAACACTGCAGATATTACATTACATGTTATTAATTATTTTAAAAAAAATGACCACAATAAATGATTTAAATCTACATAGGAGTAATATGTTTTATAAAATATGTGATGAATTTCAATTAAAGAAATCTTCAAAGAATTCCAAAAAAAATGCGGATCTCAGTAAATAGAAAATGGAAAAAAATCGAACTCTCTATACAAACAAAAAACATTTTTGATATAAATGCAGACACTGATAATGTTAGATTATCTCCTACTCATGATAAATCGGAACAAAATATTAACAACCCACCTTTAATTCAACCTCGCTGTGAAAGTTTCAATAATAATCAGTGTAGCTCGGCATCGTTAAATAAATCTTTTGAAAGACAAAATCAAAATAGTTCAATACCGAAAGAAATATTTCCATCTAACTATGATAATTTTGATACTGATTTTGAAAATTTTGCAAATACATCTACGGAAAAAAAGAATATTTCATCCGACTTTGAAACCATAGATATCGACCAGAGATTAGATTTTATCCATGTTCAAAAATTCTGCCAATTAACAGTATAAATTTAGAAGATGCAACTTTAGCGAAACGTCCGCCGTATGTTAATTGTAAATTCTTTGAAGGAGATTTTTTAATAATCAAGAAGGAATATAAACAAATGTTCAATAACCTAAAACCTATTCCTGAGCAGTGGACTTATTTGCTGTGCAGGAAATTTCAAAAAATAAATAATGTATGTATATTATGCGTCAAAGAAAAGCGTTATATATCAAGAAAAAATGTATTAAAAATTTATGGATACTGCAATCATAAATCTTGTAAAGTTTTCGTCATTTTTATTCATCAGTTCACTTGTAATGATGCAAATTATCACAAAGTAACAGTATACAGTTCTTCTCTGAATTATAACCATATAAAGCCACTTACTAAATATGTTAAAGGCGTTGAGAGAGATTGCAAGAAACGAATTAGGTATTATCAAGGCCTCTAAAATTCGCGAAAAAAAAATTCTAACCGCAAATCATAAAATAATAAAAGAAGGTAATTTACAATCAATTAAATCGGATACTGCATTTCGAAAGATGAGATCGGAACATTTCGGAAAAAATGACCGTCACTCTGATGATTTTTACGATATGTGCCTGATGATGCGAAATAATAACAGTTATCTTAAGGGTGTAGGCGAGCCATTTCTTATGTATATATTACTTATATATATATTCTATATTTTTATATTATATTTTTTTCATAATGGAATTGTACGTTCCAATAATTATTATAAGTCTATAGATAAAAATTATATAATTGGGAAGTTTAGGGGAAAAGAAGTGCATTTTGACGACTTACATTCTCTTCAATGTAAAAATTGGGTTAATGACACTTTGATAGATATAGGTTTATTATGCGTAAAAAAATTCTAACCGCAAATAATAAAAGAAGGTAATTTACAATCAATTAAATCGGATACTGCATTTCGAAAGATGAGATCGGAACATTTCGGAAAAAATGACCGTCACTCTGATGATTTTTACGATATGTGCCTGATGATGCGAAATAATAACAGTTATCTTAAGGGTGTAGGCGAGCCATTTCTTATGTATATATTACTTATATATATTCTATATTTTTATATTATATTTTTTTCATAATGGAATTGTACGTTCCAATAATTATTATAAGTCTATAGATAAAAATTATATAATTGGGAAGTTTAGGGGAAAAGAAGTGCATTTTGACGACTTACATTCTCTTCAATGTAAAAATTGGGTTAATGACACTTTGATAGATATAGGTTTATTATACGTAAAAAAAATTCTAACCGCAAATCATAAAATAATAAAAGAAGGTAATTTACAATCAATTAAATCGGATACTGCATTTCGAAAGATGAGATCGGAACATTTCGGAAAAAATGACCGTCACTCTGATGATTTTTACGATATGTGCCTGATGATGCGAAATAATAACAGTTATCTTAAGGGTGTAGGCGAGCCATTTCTTATGTATATATTACTTATATATATTCCTTATTTTTATATTATATTTTTTTCATAATGGAATTGTACGTTCCAATAATTATTATAAGTCTATAGATAAAAATTATATAATTGGGAAGTTTAGGGGAAAAGAAGTGCATTTTGACGACTTACATTCTCTTCAATGTAAAAATTGGGTTAATGACACTTTGATAGATATAGGTTTATTATACGTAAAAAAATTCTAACCGCAAATCATAAAATAATAAAGAAGGTAATTTACAATCAATTAAATCGGATACTGCATTTCGAAGATGAGATCGGAACATTTCGGAAAAATGACCGTCACTCTGATGATTTTTACGATATGTGCCTGATGATGCGAAATAATAACAGTTATCTTAAGGGTGTAGGCGAGCCATTTCTTATGTATATATTACTTATATATATTCTATATTTTATATATATATTTTTTTCATAATGGAATTGTACGTTCCAATAATTATTATAAGTCTATAGATAAAAAATTATATAATTGGGAAGTTTAGGGGAAAAGAAGTGCATTTTGACGACTTACATTCTCTTCAATGTAAAGTGGGTTAATGACACTTTGATAGATATAGGTTTATTATACGTAAAAAATTCTAACCGCAAATCATAAAATAATAAAAGAAGGTAATTTACAATTAATTAAATCGGATACTGCATTTCGAAAGATGAGATCGGAACATTTCGGAAAAAATGACCGTCACTCTGATGATTTTTACGATATGTGCCTGATGATGCGAAATAATAACACTTATCTTAAGGGTGTAGGCGAGCCATTTCTTATGTATATATTACTTATATATATTCTATATTTTTATATTATATTTTTTTTCATAATGGAAACGTTCCAATAATTATTATAAGTCTATAGATAAAAATTATATAATTGGGAAGTTTAGGGGAAAGAAGTGCATTTGACGACTTACATTCTCTTCAATGTAAAAATTAGGTTAATGACACTTTGATAGATATAGGTTTATTATAAGTAAAAAATTCTAACCAGTAAATCATAAAATAATAAAGAAGGTAATTTACAATTAATTAAATCGGATACTGCATTTTTTTTAAAAAGATGAGATCGGAACATTTCGGAAAAAATGACCGTCACTCTGATGATTTTTACGATATTTGCCTGATGATGCGAAATAATAACAGTTATCTTAAGGGTGTAGGCAAGCCATTTCTTATATATATATTACTTATATATATTCTATATTTTTATATTATATTTTTTTCATAATGGAATTTACGTTCTTACATAATTATTATAAGTCTATAGATAAAAAATTATATAATTGGGAAGTTTAGGGAAAAAAATTTTGACGACGGTATTCTCTTCAAACATAAGACGGAATTCAAAAACTATTAAGACTAAATTTTCTAAAAATCTCCAAAATTGGGTTAATGACACTTTGATAGATATAGGTTTATTATACGTAAAAAAATTCTAACCGCAAATCATAAAATAATACAAAAGAAGGTAATTTACAATCATATTAAATCGGATACTGCATTTCGAAAGATGAGATCGGAACATTTCGGAAAAAAAACCATCACTCTGATGATTTTTACGATATGTGCCTGATGATGCGAAATAATAACAAAGTTATCTTAAGGGTGGTAGGCGAGCCATTTCATGTCTATATTTTAGCCGAAAGAGCAATTGAGTTTAATAATGAACAAACTAAAGCCAACAATACATTTAGATGCTACAGGTAATATCAGTTTCGAAAACCATCATATGCTTAGAACAAGAATATTTACTACGCTGCCGTTATCTCTACCTAGTTTTAATTCGCAAGATATGCCCTATATTTGAGATGTATAATTGTAAACAAGACACAATTTCAATACAGGTACTTGGAAAAAACTATTTTATCCGACTTTATGCCATATCTAAAGGCAGAAAAATGGTTTTTATCCATGTTCAAGAAATTATAAATTTAGAAGATGCAACTTTAGCGAAACGTCCGCCATTGACAGATTATAGTCTTGCGCTAATTCATGCTACAATGCTGTTTTTGGAACCACACATTACACTGAATGATTATTTGTTCCATGCCTATAAGTATTCGTGTAATGACGATTCCGCTATATTCCAAAACAACGGAATAACCAAATTAAATATTTGCTGTTCGCATTTTTTAAAATTGTGTGCAATGACATAAAGAAATAAACCATTTAACTATTTACTGGATACTTTTTCAAAAAGAATGCATGGCAGCATCAATCAATTTAGCAATATAGATATATTTTCAAAATGGTTCATATACATCGCAGTTATTCTTTGTTCTGAAAAAAGTAAATGTTCAAACTGAATTATAACCAATAACAGGATTAACTGAAATATGTTAAATAACAAAATTTAGCGAAGATATTGCAAAAAAGATTTTTTGATTTTAGCAACTCTAGTAGATATCAATTAGAAGGCTCAATTATAAACTGAAGGCTCAAACTATCAAAAAAAGCCCGTTTTTCAACATTTTACGATATGTGCCTGATGATGCGAAATAATAACAAGAAGTTGTATTAATGGAAGAAATTCAGCACCAAATCGACAAAAATGTTAACAACATATATATGCCAAATAATGATTATTTTAATGCTGACTTTATACAATTGATACTAAAAAAGTATATGGCAATTTTGCCTTTATGGAGTTGTATAATCATGGAGACTAATCAAAAACGAGTTAGCAACGCTCTCTTCAAGAAAATTGGTTTGGGTTTATGAAAGCTATTGTTTTATAGAGGGATCTAGGCCGCAGAAATGTAGCCGCGTAGTCAGAAAAATTAGAAGACGTAATGTATTAATGAATTAAAGAAGAACAATTAAAAATTCCCAAAGAACGTTGCGCGGACTCGGAAAAAAGCCCTTATAAGCAAAGATCATTTACGATTACATTTCTGAAACAGAGGAATGGAATAAAAAAACAAAAAGTAAATTAACAGTTATTTCAAAGGATAGTTCCTTACCTAAAATTTGATAATATATTATATTATTTTTTTTCATAATGGAATTGTACGTTCCAATAATTATTATAAGTCTATAGATAAAAATTATATAATTGGGAAGTTTAGGGAAAAAAGTGCATTTTGACGACTTACAATCTCTTCAATGTAAAAGTGGGTTAATGACACTTTGATAGATATAGGTTTATTATACGTAAATAGAAACAACACCGGTAACATATAAAAAGCAGGTATCCTGTTCTACTGCACATGCAGCTTTTTAAATGTTTGAAGACCTTCGGAAAAGATTTTTTCACTCTGATTTTTAAAATATGTGCCTTGACGATTTTATTCATACCACTAAATCCAAAGGGAAACCATTGGTGCCTTTCGATATGTAATTTCACTTAAAGACATTTGTTTATTTGGATCCATCGTTTAGTAGTCTAAATAAAACTGAGGATTCCAAAAAGAGATTCTTAAGGTTTTTAGAAAAATATATAAAAGTTACTGGGCGTCTCTTGAGGGAAAAGAAGTGGACTTTTGTTGACTTCATACACAAAAAAATTGGGTTTGACACTGTGGAGTATATATAATTTATTTTGCTGAAAAGATACTCGCAAAGAATCAATTTCGGAAAAGAACTAGATTAACCAGTACAGATATAATTTAGACGATAGATTATTGGAATCTTTAGAAAAAGTGGAACAGGAATGTTTAATTTGTGGCGAATAATTGCAGTTTTACTGATTCAGTCAATATGTAAACTTTGTAAAGACATTTTCATACAAAATGTTACAAGTTCGAAGACAAATGTAATTATTATGAAATGTATTAAGATAAAATATGTATATCAAAAATAGAAATAATTAGCCGGAAAATACTTTATTTATTTTCAAATATTTTGTGGTGCTACGTTACATCAGTTTCAGTGGCGTGAGTGCAATTTAAAGCAGGATAGGTTTATTATAAACTGGAAAATAAATGCAAAAACTGGCAAATTTTAGCAAATTAATAATAACATAAGTAATTATTAAGTAATTAAATGTTATTATTTTAGTCGAAAGATACCAACAGAACATGTAGGCTATTATGATCGTCAAAAAAAGTTTTTTAATTTCACCTGATGATGCGAAATAATAACAGTTATCTTAAGAGTTTGTAGGCGAGCCATTTCTTATGTATATATTACTTATATATATTTATAGTTTTAAGAACTCTCGTGTGGAAGCTTTAGTGATTTGTCACACGGTGGCGCTTTTGAACATAATCGAATCTGAAAATGCTAATATTTTAAATTTTGAGGACTACGCGCGGCGATATTTCGTACGGTGTTGCCAAAACATATTTTATTTCTCGATATTTAAAAAGAAATATGTATTGATTATATTATATATTTCGTATTCGTTAGTACATGAGGCATCCTAAGGCTATAAAACGTAGCTATGAAAATAAAATTTTAGATTTTTAATTTTTTGTACCTTCTAATAAAAATTACTTCTATTCCAAAAAAAAATTAACTAGTATGATTATGTGTTATCTGTGCTATAATTAGGAAACTTTAGGTAAATACGGAGAATATTAATTCGTTCTCTAAGATGAGTACTAAGTATTTTTTAAAATTCGACCCATAAAGGTGGTATAATTAGATAAAAAAATTGTAATTATACAAAAAAATCTGTACCTACTAGGAGAAGGAAATTTACAATTAATTAAATCGGATACTGCATTTCAGAAAGATGAGATCGGAACATTTCAGGAAAAAAATGACCATCACTCTGATGATTTTTTACGATATGTGCCTGATGATACAGAAATAATAACAGTTATCTTAAGGGTGTAGGCGAGCCATTTCATGTCTATTTTTGGCGAAGAGCAATTGAGTTTAATAATGAACAAACTAAAGCCAACAATACATTTAGATGCTACAGGTAATATCATACGAAACCATTATTTGATCGTATTGTGACAGATTATAATCTTGCGCTAATTCATGCTACAATGCTGTTTGGAACCACATTACACTGAATGATTATTTGTTGAACATTGATAAAGTATTTTGGAAATGTATAGCCTATAGTAGTGAAACTGGGGGGTGAAATTTTGTACAAAAATGTTAGTTCTAGGAGTATGAAATTTTGTGCAGATGACATAAACGAAAGTGAGTAATAGAAGCTAATTTTGACACATCCCCTAGAAAGAATGGATGAAAATTTGTACAATAAATTTTACAATCGGTTTTAGAAGTATGAAATTCTGCACAGACGTTCCTTATGTTATAATTTGCACTGAAAAAGTAACTTTTGGAAATGAAAACCTCTAAGGGTGTGAAATGAAATGAACGTTCTGAAACAAATCTGTTGAAGGAATATGAAAATTTTGACAGAGGTGCCTTAGTAATTGAATAATTAGAGTGATTTTTGGAATTCATTAACTAAAGGAATGAACTATCAAAAAAAATGTATTCATGAACATTTCAGCGTATTAATGGAAGAAATTCAGCACCAAATCGACAAAAATGTTAACAACAATATGCCAAATAATGATTATTTTAATGCTGACTTTATACAATTGATACTAAAAAAGTATATGGCAATTTTGCCTTTATGGAGTTGTATAATCATGGAGACTAATCAAAAACGAGTTAGCAACGCTCCGGTAGAAAATTGGTTTGGGTTTATAAAAGCTATTGTTTTAGAGGGATCTAGGCCGCAGAAATGTAGCCGCGTAGTAAGAAAAATTAGAAGACGTGTATTAATGATTGCAAAAGAAGAACAATTAAAAATTCCCAAAGAACGTTGCGCGACTCAAAAAGCCCTTATAAGCAAAGATCATGAACCCGATTACATTTCTGAAACAGAGGAATGGAATAAAAAACAAAAAGTAAATTACAGTTATTTCAAAGGAAGTTTTCTGAAACAGTTTTACAATAAAATAAGTGATTCAAATATCTATAAAAGTGAGTTACATTTACCTAAAATTGATAATATATTATATTTTTTTCATAATGGAATTGTACGTTCCAATAATTATTATAAGTTTATAGATAAAAATTATATAATTGGGAAGTTTAGGGAAAAAGAAGTTCATTTTGACGACTTACATTCTCTTCAATGTAAAAATTGGGTTAATGACACTTGATAGATATAGGTTTATAATACGTAAAAAAAATTCTAACCGCAAATCATAAAATAATAAAAGAAGGTAATTTACAATCAATTAAATCGGATACTGCATTTCGAAAGATGAGATCGGAACATTTCGGAAAAATGACCGTCACTCTGATGATTTTTACGATATGTGCCTGATGATGCGAAATAATAGCAGTTATCTTAAGGGTGTAGGCGAGCCATTTCATGTCTATATTTTTAGCGAAGAGCAATTGAGTTTAATAATGAACAAACTAAAGCCAACAATACATTTAGATGCTACAGGTAATATCATACGAAAACCATCATATGTTAGAACAAGAATATTTTACTACGCTGCCGTTATCTCTACCTCATTTAATTCACGTGAATATGCCCTATATTTGAGATGTATAATTGGTAAACATGACACAATTTCAATAGGTACTTGGATGGCTTATTTTAAACAGTATGCCATATCTAAAGGCAAAAATGGCCATTATTTGATCGTATTCCTTACAGATTATAGTCTTGCGCTAATTCATGCTACAATGCTGTTTTGAAACCACATTACACTGAATGATTATTTGTTCCATGCATATAAGTATTCGTGTAATGACGCTTGATCCACTATATTCAAAACAACGGAATAACCAAATTAAATATTTGCTGTTCGCATTTTTTTAAAATTGTGTGCAATGACATAAAAAAACTGAATAATAATAACACTGTAAAACTTTTTTTAAAAGAATGCATGGCAGCATCAATAAATTTTAGCAATATAGATATATTTTCAAAATGGTTCATATACATCGCAGTTATTCTTTGTTCTGAAAAAGTAAATGTACAAACTGAAAACGCAATAACAGGATTAACTGAAATATGCTTAAATAACAAATTTAGCGAAGATATTGAAAAAGATTTTGATTTTAGCAACTCTAGTAGATATCAATTAGAAGGCTCAATTATAACTGAAGGCTCAAACTATCAAAAAAGCCCGTTTTTCAACATTTCAGCGTATTAATGGAAGAAATTCAGCACCAAATCGACAAAAATGTTAACAACAATATGCCAAATAATGATTATTTTAATGCTGACTTTATACAATTGATACTAAAAAAGTATATGGCAATTTTGCCTTTATGGAGTTGTATAATCATGGAGACTAATCAAAAACGAGTTAGCAACGCTCCGGTAGAAAATTGGTTTGGGTTTATAAAAGCTATTGTTTTAGAGGGATCTAGGCCGCAGAAATGTAGCCGCGTAGTAAGAAAAATTAGAAGACGTGTATTAATGATTGCAAAAGAAGAACAATTAAAAATTCCCAAAGAACGTTGCGCGACTCAAAAAGCCCTTATAAGCAAAGATCATGAACCCGATTACATTTCTGAAACAGAGGAATATAATAATTAACTGAGAGAGAGAGAGAGAGAGAGAGTAATTAGTTAAAAGAATAAGAGAGAAATAGAATAATTAACTGAGAGAGTGTATGTGCGTGTGTGTGTGTGTGAGAGAGAGAGAGAGAGAGAGAGAGAGAGTAAGAATGATATATTCTACAATAATATATGATATGAGAAAATAATTATTATTTTTACTAAGGTATTCGTATTAATTGAGTGTATTTATTAATTAAAATTTAAACTATTAAGAGAGAGAACAGCCTAGAGTTGAGACTAAATGCGTATCGATAAATTTGAGCGTAAAAAAGAAATATCCGGACCAGTATCGCAAAACAGCGCTAGATATCGCTTTTAACACCGGTACGGTAATTTAAAAATCGATCGGTCGATCGCAAATTCCTGGCCAGTGGAACCAGTGACAAAAAATGTACTACCTTTTTTTACTGCGTTAAAGAGAAGATAAATATAGATTTTGTTCGAGAATTTATTTTATTGAATATATTTAAAATAATATATTACAAAAATATTAATGATATTTAGATAATTTTGAGAAATTAATTATGATAATCAATTTAATTGAGTATAAGTAAAATATGTACGTAGTTCAGAAAGGGATCTGCGGCGGAAGGAACAATGTTACGGGCGAGAATTAAGGGGCTCAGTTCATTAGGGTGAGTTAATGTATCAGGACTGTGGGCACTCACCTTTATTCCC